TAGTTCTAGTTTCTTGGTAATAAGCACATGATGTGAAGCATTTCATGACTCGTGGCTAGTGTGCCATGTCAGATGCTTGTTTCCTCATTCATGGTCCCACAATACGGTACTAAGTCAAACCACATGCTGCAAATGGGATGCAGGATCCAATAACAATGATCATACTTTGTTGGCACTATAACTACATGTTAATTTTGAAACATGTTAGCTCTATTCATGGTGGTGTGTGGCCCTGTGCACAGAGCTCAGGTCACAATTCAGTTGAAGTTAAGCAACGATTGGTGCTGACAGTACTTGGATGGGTGACCGTGTTTGGCAGCTTGACTCCTGAGAGTTTATAGGACTTCAATCCTGTCCCACGAAGAGGCATATGTGACACATGTGTTCTCACCATGGGCAATTGAGTTTGTTCAAAATTGTCTCTGTTCTCCTCGCAGCGAATGGGTACCCATTGGAATGTGTCATATGACTATCAATACCATCTAGTGCCTCACAGAGCTTGGGTTATCCAGGGTAATAATGTCCATTATGTTGCATGCACTTAGAGCATGCCCATGCAGCATGGAGTTCAGTTATTATTATCATTGTAGCAACCATAAAATTTCCTAGTCCCGTGCTGGGATTAGAACCACGGACCTTCTAATCCAAGTCGGACGCCTTGTCCACATGACCAAAGAGGTTAACCCTGTCAGCAAGCTGACAAGGTAAGGATGTCATCTGTGGGATGACTCCATGCCCTGCTACATACTCCAACGTAGCAACCATAAAATTTCCTAGTCCGTGCTGGGATTAGAACCACGGACCTTCTAATCCAAAGTCGGATGCCTTGTCCACATGACCAAAGAGGATAACCCGTCAGCAAGCTGACAAGCAAGCTGTGGGATGACGAGGTAAGTCAACATGTCATCTGTGGGATGAGACTTATTTTGCTCAAACACCCTGCTACATACTCCAATGTAGCGGCCATAAAATTTCCGAGTCCCGTGCTGGGATTCAAACCACGGACCTCCTAATTCGAAGTCGGATGCCTTGTCCACATGACCAAAGAGGTTAACCCCGTCAGCAAGCTGACAAGGTAAGGATGTCATCTGTGGGATGACTCCACGCCCTGCTACATCATTATCTACTGTAGGGCAACTTCTTCACGGTTTGGTTCTTTAAGTTTGATTAAAGCTTTAGTTAAATATTGCATCCCTTATTGTGTCTGGACTTGGCAAACCTTTAAACAATGTTATTGTCAGATATATTTTTTCCTTCGGTTTTCATCTTTTAGTAAGGTCGATGGGGTAGCCTAGTGGTTAAAGCCTTCGCTCCTCATGCCGAAGACTTGGGTTTGATTCCCCACATGGGTACAATGTGTGAACTCCATTTCTGGTATCCCCGACCGTGATATTGCTAGAATAATGCTAATAGCAGCGTAAAACTAAACTCACTCACTTATTTTTTAGTATGTGTAGTTTTTCTAAACCAGCAGTAAAACGTCTTTCCTGAGAAATTCCAGTGTATTAGTCATCAGAAGAGTACAAGCAAGAAGAAAAGTAATGAATACCATTGATTGAACTGCATATAAAGTTACTAGGTTAAAAACTCGAAAATGGTTATTCAGCATCACGCAATATTGAGCATCTGCATCTCTGATTATTGTTTATCTTTTGATATAAGATCCCCTGTGCAGCTGAAGGCTTCAGCTGTTGATGATGGTAAGCCTGTAACTTGACTAACTCAACATGACATGGGCTCAGAACTTCAAAAATCTGGTGCTAAGATATAATTATATTTAATGCATGGCATATGCCTTTAATATGTTCCATGCTTTAGAGTAATATTTAGCAATCTTTTTCATTCATTTTACAATTCTTTTTAGCAGTTTGAATTGCACAGCACCCCCAAATACCTATGGACATACATCTTAGAAAATATTGTTAATGACGTCTGCTCCCTGTACAAACAGACATAGGTGGTTATAATATTGAATGGTTTAGTCATGTGATACGTGGAATGTTGAGACATCTGTTCATTGGCTGTATCATTTACAGTGGTAATTGCATTGGAAAGTATGTATTACATCACATCTGGTTATTGTCAATACTGGGTTTTTAACCCCCCTGGCAATGTCTGTCTGTCTGTCTGTCTGTCTGTCTGATGCTGTTTGCTACTTACAGATTTTTTGCTGTTTCTATTTTTCTTATTTCTTTGGAAACAATTTGTATCATAACTGGGTGGATTTTTTTTCCGGAGCACAAAGCCAATTTTGTTCAATGTTTTTTCTGTTTCTATTGAAACAAGTTAGACTTTGCGGAAATGGAGGTAGGTGTCATCTCCAGAGCAGAACTGAAAAACTATTGAACATTTTTCATGAAAACTTTGGACATGTATTAAATAGCGGCTAAACTGAGGCCTTTTGCTATTTAGGTATTTTTAAAAAATACATTTTTTTCCTGTTTTCAGGGCAACAAGTTACAAGTTTACACATATTCTTGTGATTGTCCGGACCATATTTCTGAAATGAATAGGTATTCATTCATGAAACAGTGGTGCACACAATGACCAGGTTGCCATATTGGTACATACCTAACTTAGAAATACAAACTAACAAAGTTACAAATCCGATTCCATGGTATTGTTTTGATAGCTCAAGACTACTCTTCTATCATTACAGAAAGATTAGACAGAAATTCTCTCATCAAGTTGGGCTTAAAGTCAGATGGTTTGTGAGCTGTTGATGATTCTTGTTTACTTCACCTATGAAGATCCGGGTTAGAATAACAATTGGTCTTCAGCAACCCATGCTTGTCGTAAAAGGCGACTAACGGGATCAGGTGGTTAGGCTTGCTGACTTGGTTGACACATGTCATTGTATCCCAATTGCATAGATGGATGCTCATGTTGTTGATCACTGGATTGTCTGGTCCAGATTCGGGTATTTACAGACCACTGCCATATTGCTGGAATATTACTGAGTGTGGCGTTAAACAACAAACAATCCCAAACAAATCTTGTTTAGTCCACCTGAATCCAGTTATAATGATTCCTGTCAGCTTTCCCTTCTGTTGTGTGGCCAAAAGTGTCCAACCACCATCTTATCCTTTGCCAGTCTGTTCATATCGTCTAAGTTGGGATACAAGTATATACATTGATTTAGAGCTTTGTTACTTGCACTGGTGCAATCCAATATTACAAAGTGCAACCTAGTTATTAATATTAGTCTAACTTGCACCATGTGCAAGTCAATTTTGAGTGGGTAAACTTCTAAATAAAACATCTAAATAATTCAATAGCATATTTCTTTCATTTCTTATTGCCATAAGAGCAGTGCACTTGGAATTTGGCTGGTGCAACTAGGTTAATATGTTAGGTTGCACCTGGTGCAAGTAGGTTAACATCTCTTAAATTGAGCCCTGATATATTCTGACATGGATGTATCAATAAAGTTTTAATGTAGATATTGAATTGATTTCGATTGTTGCTTGGCATCACTCTCAGTAGATGTTAGCACATGCATCTTTCATGTATGGACTTTTAGTGGAGCATTCCAGATAACAATCGTTTCACTAGACTTTTGATGCTGAAGCCACAGTCATAAGTGTAAATGGGTTTTACAGTTTTAAGGGGCAGTTGAGTAGCCTAGTTGCTAAAGCGTTCACTCGTCGCCGAAAACCGGGTTTGATTCCCCACATGGAATCAATGCATGAAGCCCATTTCTGGTGTCCCCTGCCGTGATATTGCTGGAATATTGCTAAAAGTGACGTAAAACCCAACTTACTCAGTCAGTCAGTACAAACAAAAGCTGCTGAACGAGATACAAACTAGAAATTACTGAGTGATATTTTCTGAAAAACAATAATCTTAGTTACTGGGAATGAAAAGACTGTCGAACCTGCAGAAAACAAAAGCTGCGGGTCCGAGTGGTTTTCGGTCTAAGGACCGACGTTAATTTCAAACACTGATGTCAAGTATCTTAGTTGAGTAGCCTAGTTGTTAAAGCGTTGACTCGGCCACTTTAATTTTAAAACCAGGGTTTGATTTCCCACATGGATACAATGTGTTAAGCCCATTTCTAGTGTCCCCAGCTGTGATATTGCTGGAATATTTTTTAAAAGCGGTGTAAAACCCATTACTCACTCATTCATGACAGTTTTTACAAATCCATAGATGACTTAGATGTGAACCAAATCTCTTTTTGCACACTATACCATGAATGATATGAACATGCTTTTGTCCAAATTAAGAGAGAGAATAAATTATTATTCTGGAAATCCATCAAGGTTTTGTGAGAATCAATCTAAAGATTCAACAAAGAAATTTCAACACTTCTTTGTAGTTTTCATCAAACATGATCAGGGCTCGATTTAATGCTTTGTTACTTGCACTGGTGCAACCCAATATTACAAAGTGCAACCTATTTTTGAGTGGATAAACTTATGAATAAAACATCTAAATATTTCAAAAGCATATTTCTTTCGTTACATATTCCAATAAAAGCAGTGCAACTGGAATTTGGCAGTTGCAATTAGGTAAACATCTCTTAAATTGAACCCTGATGATCTGTTCTGTAAACTTTCAAATCTGTTTGCCCGATTTGGGGCTCTTAGCGTCTTTTCAGTAGATTTCAGTGATGTAATGTGTATCATATTTAGCTAAGGTTACTTGACCGAACATGTTTTGCTAGATTTAATTTTCAGACTTGTGGATAAAGTCACAAAATGTGGCAAAACATAATGTGACGATATCCAAACTTCAGACTCCGGAAGATCCGGGTTAAAATTGATCTTCAGTAACCCATGCTTGTCATGGGTTGGTTGATCGATGCTCTTGCTCTTGATCATTGGATTGTCTGGTCCAGCCTCTATTATTTACAGACAGCCGCCATATAGCTGGAATATTGCTGAGTGGGGCGTAAAACTAAACTCACTCACTCCAAAACTTCAGGTTAGCTATGGGGCCTCTTACTTCCATATTTTTCTGTGGTTTGTTCAGCTGATTCTTTTTTCTGCTAACAGGGAACTCTGCAGCGATGGATTGTAAAAACTGAAGCCGGCGGCCAGCTGTGTCCATATCACCCACACCTTGTCATCTGTCATCGAATTTGATTATTCTGAGGACTACTCAGAATTCGGAAGTTTGTTGTTGAACATGTGTAGCATTGTCACAAGTGTATGAGTACGGACCCTGCCACTGTCATTGTGATTTTACCAATAGCTTTAACCAGTGAAATCCTTATTTGAAAAGGGTTTTTTTCAATCTGTGATTTGGGTAGTTTTTTTAGAAAGCCATTTTTATTTTGTTTTTTGGTTTTATTGCCGTAATGAGAAGAAAACTATTGTATGGAGTTGTGTTCTGTTTGGCGGCAGTGTATATCCTTTACTATGCTCTCCCTTGTGATAATGGATCAAAAATGTTCATGGTTCCAAAGGAACCAACAAAGTTCATGTATGACAACAAACACCGTGCCATTCCTTACGACGAAAATATGGACATCATATTCATTGGCGGCATGCCAAGAAGTGGGACTACTTTAATGCGGGCACTTTTGGACGCTCATCCAGAGGTGCGATGTGGAGAAGAGACGCGGGTGGTTCCACGGATTCTTGGCATGAGGACACAGTGGGAGAAGTCTCCGACGGAGAAAAAACGGTTAGCTAATGCAGGAATCACTGGAGATGTGCTTGACTCTGCCGTGCGTTCTTTCATTCTTGAAATCATTGCCAAACACGGAGAAGCTGCCCCCCACTTGTGCAACAAGGATCCATTCACATTAAAATCTGCCATATACCTTAGTCAGTTATTCCCCCACTCTAGATACATATTGATGGTCCGGGACGGAAGAGCTGTCGTACATTCGATCATCACTCGCAAAGTCACCATATCTGGCTTTGATTTGAAGAGTTACAGAAAGTGTCTGCAGAAATGGAACCAGGCTGTTGAGTCAATGTATGGTCAGTGTTTGAGAGTGGGGCCATATCGCTGTATGCCTGTGTACTATGAACAACTTGTGCTTCATCCTGAACTGTGGATGCGGAGGATCCTCAACTTCCTGGAGCTCCCCTGGAATCAGTCGGTGCTGCATCACGAGGACTATGTCGGCAAACCAGGAGGAATCTCATTATCAAAGTAAGTACAAACTTACCATACTGTCCCAGTGGTCTTGTCACCTGCTGGTTGTGTTTGTTCTTAAACTTGTGCTTGAAAGTCAAAGCCTTGTCCTAAATATACTGTTGAACGTTGAACATTTTGGAGTTCCATGATTCAAATACTGTAGGAGATAACAAAAAGAGTTCCATTCAGAGTATGATTTAATTTTGAAAAGTCGCTGGCCAGGAGGGCTAGTTAAGTAAAAATGTTGCTAGCCCCCATCATACTTCACTGGCCCTGCAAAATATCAATATCAAAATGCATATCGGTCAAAATTGGTGTGATGTTTGGTAATTGAAGATGGTAAGTTATTGTTGCCCCATAGAAACAATATAAATCAAATAAACACACAAAAAATAAGATTTCTTTCTTCATTCCTTAAATACAGGTTGGAGAAAACACTGCTCTAATGTGCACCTCACTTCTAGTGCAATAGATAAGCTTGAAAACTAATGCCGTCATTCACAATTGTCTGATTCATCAATTTCAAATTTGTCAACATCAGACAGATTGTCTGCTTCAAAGTCAGAGGGGTGGTGGGGTAGCCTAGTGGTTAAGGCGTCTGCTCGTCATGCTGAAGACCCGGGTTCGATTTCCCACCCATTTCTGGTGTCCCCCGTCGTGATATTGCTAAAAGTGGCATAAAACCAACCTCACTCACTCCATGAAGAGTGAATGCTTTGACCATCAGAGGTTACCCTTAACTGTCGTGGGCTTAGATTTTAGAAGCTCTCTTAGCGCTAAGAGAGCTTTGAAAATCTGGGCCCTGGAGTGTGGCAAAAGATCTTGATCTGTATGAGTTCTTGTGGATAAACAAAAAAAAAAGATGAAGTCAGTTAGACGCTGTGAAAGGAATGTTAAAAAATGGGCACATTTTTAGTAATCAGTTGCAATATTTATGTTATTTGCAGTCAATACATGAAAACATTTCTGTTTCCAAAACGGCCAAACAACAGAGGTCTCCCGGTGCATTGTCTTATAGATTTCTGCCTTCCAAGAATGTGTATTTTCTTTTGGGAAAATTATAAAGTGTTTGAAAGAATTATCTTCGTTGAAGTAAAGATACAAAAATCGCAAGCTTGCTGGGGAAAATCTCACTTTAATCTGACCTTTGAATTTCTCAAAATATTTTCTCACCCAATAACCAATATTTAAAAGCGAAAAAAAACAGGTTAGAGTTTAGACGTCTTGTGGCATGCGAAACTCTGGTGCAGTCGTGTTGGTCAAGTGGTAATAAACTAACACAGGAATGTTAGACTCCCCATTGTTTGATCCCCTGTCTGTCTGTGTGAAAGGGGAGACCTAAATAGCCCCAGCTACGTGTAAAGATGGCCAAGTTGCTGTCAACAGCGTCTCCAAACATCCAAACACGACCAGACTTTGCTTCTCAAGCTGTTTTTGCATGCCTGGCTCAGCTTATGATTGCTGTACAAGCACTAGGCGTTTATCATGTTTATTGGCAATTACATTCTCATACACTATGTGGATGAAGGGCCATAACTTGATGATAAATAGTACAAGAGGGTCCTGCCCTTTTATGTTGCTGGTTAGGTGGGGAAATAATTGATGTTATAGTCCTGAATTAATTTATCAGTTTTTTTGTGTCCCCCATGTCAATGTCAAAGACCCTGCCCTACCTATTTTGATTTTCCTGAAGTATCTTCAAAGAATTTTTTCCATGTCTTCCTTTACTGCATGAAAAACATCAGATAAAGTCATTCCAAATATTCATATTTATGGAAATCATACGTAGCAATCGTTAGTGTACACAGTTGCATGAACAATTCTTATTTATAACAAAATAAATAGATGCCTTCTTTTTAATTCAACTGAATTTGAATAGAAATTTCATATTTCATATTTTGTTGAAATCTTAAGATTGAGAGCGCCAGGATAAATTTTATCTAATTCATTGTAGACATTGTCGCCTCTGACAGACACTAGTCCCTCCACAATTAAATTTGCGAGTTCAAAGTTCAGGTAGTTTTTTATCTCAGAATACATGTCAGTTTTTTTCATGTCTCCCTTTACTGCATGGAAAACATCAGATACAGTTATTCCAAATATTCATATTTATGTGAATCATATCTGCCAGTAGTTAATGTGCACAGATATATAAAATTATCATGTTTTTAAATATAAATACATAGATGCCTCCTTTCTATTTCAAATGAAAACTGAATAGAAATTTGATATTGTTGTGGAAATTTTAAGATTGTGAGTGCAATGATGAAAATGATCTAAATCATTGTAGACATAGTCACCTCAGACACCAGTCCTCTACATTTAAATTTGTGATTTCAAAGTTCAGGTAGTTTTCTCTCACAATGCATGTCACGTAGATTCTCGGCTGAAATAAAATGTGTCCTTGCCAGATTTGTTACTAATGAAGAAAGTCTTCCCCTAAAAATGCCACCTAAATACTTGACACGAGAAAGATGTTTTCAAATTTCTAACTCTGGTGTACGTTTTAGTGGCTGAAGTGAGCATCATGAGACAGATTTCTTAATTAGAACATAATTGTTTGGTAACATTTATGATGTAACTGAATATATTTAAAGACAAATTACTTGATCTTACATATTTGGATATTTTAAGGGATATTGGGGTTTTACTACCAACAAAATGAACACAGGTTTTCATTACTACTGATACAGTGATATTAGTGGGATTGAATCAATATTGAGAGTTTCGGAAAGAAATCGTTGAAATTGGAATATGCTTTCCATGAATTTAGCAAATTTTCATTTATCAGGAAATTTGATATTTTTTCGCAGTGATGTTATCAAAACATCGTAATTCTGTTGTCGATTTCCTCACAGCGATTATCCATGGTAGGAACACGTGTTCAGTGAGGCAGCCATATTGCCACAGCATTACATGGATTTAACAAACTACACAAGACATGGATTTAACAAACTACACAAAACTACACAAGACGTGAAGTTTGTTTGTTAAAGTGTAATTGTCCACACATGAAACATTTTCCACGATTTAGATTTTGTCACTATCCTAATATATATACATATATTCGTGGTTGAGGATGCAGAATTGTATAAATATCATGTGCTTTGATGATATAATTTGGAAATACTTTCAGTGGTCAGGGTTTAATCAAAGGGTTGTTTCAGCAACAGAGTTGCAAGGATTAGAAAGCAACCATTTGATTTTCAAGGGGAGGAGAGGAGGGAATTTTTTTATCAGCATTTTTTCAATGATTCTGAGTTCAATTATTTTAAAGCATAAACAGGTGCTCAATAATATTTTTGAAAATACATTAAAAAACAAGAATGATTCTTATTTCACTTTCTGGAAATTCCTTTAATTCAAGGCATATTAACAAGAATTTGTACTTTACTGAGAAAATATAATCCCAGTTATAACACATCACTAATGGTGTCTTATTTTGGGGGGAAATTTGACTATTTCGTCATGCAGATTGCTTCCCCAGTAGATGTAATAGATGTTCTCTTTTGTGGTGTTATTAATTCATGTAAAGCAGAGCTCGCTCTAAATACTCTCCTTAAACATGATTGAAGAGTTCTAGCTGGAGTTATGTGTGTTAGTGTTTAAGGGAAATGAAAACAAGGACAGATGTTGGATTGCATATTCTAATTACAACAGCGGAACTCAAGAAGGTTTTATCTTTGAGGAGAGTTCCTAGCGATAAAGACCGAGACATATGAACCAGGAACTAAGGCATAAGGCCACGATAACTTGATTATTAGATTTTCATCTAAATTATATAAAATGTCAGCAGGAGATATTTTGTTGATTTATTTTACTCTGTTCTAAGGTACAGTAACTGTCAACCAGTGGAATTTTTTTCGACTGACTATGTTTCTTGTTCTCTAGTGTTGAGTCACTTTTGTTTCTGGACATTTTATATGTACAGTAATAATAAAAATAATAAATAATTGATTTCTTAAGTGGCTAGTATCCATTGACAGGTGCTCACCAGTGTCATTTGTTCAAATGTATTGTACATACCCGGTACACAAAAACTGTTACCATCTCAGTGTATTTTCATTTCTGCTATACAGATCTGGGTTAGAATATTGCTCTTCAGTAACCCGTGCTTGTCGTAAAAGGCAGCTAACGGAATTGGATGGTCAGGCTCACTGACTTGGTTGAAAAATGTCATCGTATCCCAATTGTGTAGATCAATGCTCATGCTGTTGATCACTGGATTATCTGGTCCAGACTCAATTATTTACAGACTGCCGCCATATATCTGGAATATTGCTGAGTGTGCATTAAGCGACAAACCCACCTAATCATTGTATACTTCTGGAAACTGAGGTCTCTCACCATTTATTTCAGTGCTTTCTTTTGTGTTGAAGTTGACAATTTTTCGGGTCCCCTCCAAATTCAAATTATGCTACATCAGCGAATATCAATAACCCTAAGACCCCCTTTATTTTGAACACTGCTTTCATGTGACATTCAACCCTCAGTATCCAAAGAGATGGAGAGAAAATTTCTTATCTAATTTACCGGGGCTGAACTTGAGTTTGTTACGAAAGTATTTGTTTTTTATTAATACATTCTAGACTAAATATGCTGAAGATATTTGTTTTGGTAAGTTTCACAATAGTTTATAGTACAAAATTTTATACATAAGATATACGGCACTGTCAACTGTTCACATAACAACCACAGTTATTAGTGGGCCATTTAATGATATGTCAGCGTGCAACTTATTACACAGTGATTATGTTTACTGTGAATGGCTAGATTGTTATGTTCGTGATATTCTCATAAGTCCATGACATTCAAGAGATGTAGTTTACCATAATCACATCCAGGACCTGTCCAGTAACCTTTATTGTTCAACAAAGGGTGGAGTGAAATGGGGTTTAATGCCGTACTTAAGAATATTTCGCTCACATGACAACATGTGTGTGTGTGGCTGCTTGTACTAGCCTAGACCTAAGCTGGTTTTATAGTGCAAACTCACTGAGATACCATGCCGCAGTGAAGCATGAACATCCGACTCAGACACATTATACTGACTCCGAGCCGACCAGTCCTTGTTGTACCCATTAATGCCGAGCGCCAGGCAGGGACCAACAAGTACCATATTTTAACGTCTTTTGGTATGACGCGGTCGGGGATCAAACCCGCGACCTTCCGCTTCCTGGGCAGACGCTCTAACCACTTCTCCACGAGGTGGTCAACAAAGGGATTATTCCAAATAGATGACCTAACGAGGACAACACTACACATCTCTAAAAGTTGCAGTCTCAATGAAAATTGATAAGTATTGCCAAACACCCGGGTTCGATTCCCCACATGGGCACAATGTGTGAAGCCCATTTCTGGTGTCCCCTGCCATGATATTGCTGGAATATTGCTAGAAGCGGCGTAAAACTAAACTCACTCAATTACTCTTTCAGACCCCAACCATGATATTGCTGGAATATTGCTAAAAATGGCATAAATCTCACTCACTCACTCTCTCACTCACTCACTCTCTCTTTTCAGAACTGAGAAATCTACAGACCAAGTGATCAAGCCGGTCAATGTTGAGGCACTGACCAAGTGGGTGGGCAGCATTCCTGACGACGTTGTACGAGATATGGCCTCGGTGGCCCCCATGCTAAAGACTCTTGGTTACGATCCAGACTCCAACCCACCAGACTACGGAAAGCCAGACCCTCAAGTTTCTGACAACACGCTACATTTACAAAAGAATAAGGATCTGTGGCAAAAACGTGAAAAGGACATCTTCGACAAATTAGATGAGAGCAAAGACAAGGAGGCTAAAAATAGATATTCATCCAACTCGACTGTGCACTGATCACATGAGAACTATAAAGTATTATGAATGTATAAATGATAATGAATACTGTCTCAAAGATCATCCTTTTACAGTCAATATCTGTACACATTTTGCAGCGTTAGAAAACTTAAGAATTGAAATCAAGGTTTTCTTGTCATTACCCACATGTTAAAAGTTCAACATGTATGGGTCCAACAATTTATATGCTAGTAAGACCCCTCTGAGACCCCAACATCCCTGAACCTCTGCACACCTAGATCCCGAACTTCTGCACACCTAGACAGCTGTAGCCCTAGGTCCCTGGATCCTTGGAACCCTGGACCTGTGGACCCTAGGCCCCAAAATCATTGGACCTCTGGCCCTGTGGAAGCCTGTAAATGTATATAATTTAAGGGATCTGAAAATTCACACTTCAGATCTAAAAGGACCTAAGGATCCAAAAGTTTCAAACACAGAGGTTGAATACAAACTGTGATACAAAAGACCGTTATTTGATGTTTACATGGTATACCTGTTGGGTTTTAATCGTTAGCACAGGTGAGGTTGATGTTGGTTGTTCTATACAGAATGTTAACATGCAGGTATTGATAATATTGTGATGTATCTCTTGTATACTGATGTTTAACATTTGCTGCTAAGGATGGCATGTTAAGAGTCTATTTTGCTATGGATCATAACGTAAACAGTGTACATGATCCTTGGAACAGCTGTTTCATATTCCAGTAGAAACTCTGATAAATTGTGCAGTCCTATATTATTATTTATCACAATTATAGTGTGGAACATACATTTCATACCAGATTAAATACCCCTGTAACCAAAATTTTCCAAGAGATGACCTAAGAAACATTTGGTTATAATTTTTTCAGATTTATCTCCAGCCAACTGGAAAGACAAGGTATGATAAGGGAGTCATTTTGGATAAGGGAACTTTTAAAAGAGTGTTAGGAAACTTACTGAAAATGTTCAAGCGACTGATATTAAGAATCTTGTCTTTTCAGTCTTTGACATGCATCATTGACCAGTTGTGGCAACAGTAAATGAAAAAAGCTAGGGGTGAAACGGTATACCACGGTATTAGTAGAACTGCGGTATTTTGCCTTCGGTTCAGTAAACCATAATGCAATCCAAAAACTCTGTATTTTCGGTTTTCATATCGTCATTTTATTAACCTTTTTAAACCTTTTCCAAAATCATTTTGTCAAAATCTATGCATTTCTTTTCTTTTCTGTATTATGATCATATCTCATATACTGAACCGAAACAGACCAAACCAAAGGTCTTGTACCGCAATACGCACCGTACCATGGTAAGAGCGTACCGTTTCAACCCTAAATGCCATGGGTTTTTTTATTAAATTTAACCATGAGGAACATGGGACCTCAATATGAAATTTTCAAAGAGTGTCTACAGAATTAGCTCAGTCATTTTGGGCAAGAACTGCATTAAGTTACAACAGGACAGAACGCTCACATAAAAAAGTATTATGGCTCTTTTTTTAAAAAATCAAAACACTGGATTTAATGTCACTTTTACCAGTTGTCGAAAGTTTTCAAGTGAACAAATTCTAGCTCTCAGTTCATATGAGCTCTTTGTTGACCAGATAGCCCTAATCATACTTGTCTTTAGAAAATGAGGAATGATAAGGGTCTTTTTTGTTCCACAGGACCTGCACTATTTATGAATTGAGCCAAACATCTGAAAATTGGTATGGAAGTTATCAGACATGTTTATATGCATGTTTAGGACTCTTGACAAACAAACCGCATTGATAAGGATAAGATGGCAGGAGGCTTTTAGAAGATGGGCTAACATAAGAATTTAAATATTCAGTACAGGCAGTCATGTATTTTAAGACGTTAAGACTTATGTTTCAGTAAAAAACATTAAGTCAAGCATCTGTTTCACAATATCAAAGACTAAGACCATTTGCAGAAAAGAAAAGCAGCCATTTTGAAATCCAACATGGCTGACACAAACGTTTATGGAAAACTGGCAACATAATTTTCTTAACAGAAATGTATTTTGATTGTTTGAACATTTTTCCCAAGATTAAACCTAAAAATATATTTCCTTTACTTTAATACATTATAAAAAAATATTTTAACATAGACAAATCTTTGGCCTTAGCTAAGTTTCAAGTGAGATGTACAGAACAATAACTTCTTATGTGTCATACAGTGATAAAATGTTTAAGTCCTCCTCTGTTGAAGCCTTTTCTATGTTTTTGATCATGTTGGAAGTCCAAAACTTTGAGTATAAGAAAGGAAAAAGACAAGATGTTAGCCAACATGTCAACATGTCTAATAGATTAAATACCAGTACTTCAGAATATTCCCCAACTTTCATAATGACTCTTGCAGGGGCCATGAAAGCCCCTTATCCAATCTTGTTCATTATCTCTTTCAGGTTCCTGTGATTCTACCTTTCCCTTGAGTTTCTTTAGTGTTATAGTATTATCATGAGATAAATAGTTTATGTCCTGTTAGTATTTTGATTGTTAGACAAGACGGCATCTATGAAACTGAATGCAATTGTTATGCTTTTCTCATATACCTCAGCCTGTTGTTGAAATATGGAATTCCAATCCTGAAGTTTCTTATTGATATTTCATGTTAAAAGCAGTGTGCGAAATAGTTTCCAAATTTTGCTTGCCAGTCGGGCTAGCCTTGCCTGAAAGTTACTAGCCCACAAAATAATTCACTTGCCCGCAATTTCAATGTAGAATCTAAGCAAATGATTGCAAAAATAGATGAGAATAATATATTGTCGGCATGGGCAAGGGTTTCATCATTAAGCTGCTACTATGATAAACATTTTTATCAGGCCATAATGTTGCATGATTTAAAGTGTATTATTACTTAGCAGGTCACAGAGAGAGTGATATATTTACAAAATCACGCCATGAAAATTCACTAGCCAGTCGGGCCAGTGACTGTGGTGGGCACAATGTGTTAAGCCCATTTCTGGTGTCCCCCGCCGTGATATTGCTGGAATATTGCTAAAAGCGGCGTAAAACTAAACTCAGTCAGTCAGTGACTGTGGAGATTTACTGGCCCACATGGATTTTTACTAGCCAGGGGCAAGCAGGCCAGTGGCTATTTCGCACACTGGTTAAAAGCACCTCATGGTGTATACGCTTGTGTTCATCACGATGTATAGTGTTAAATCCTAAAATGACTGAACAGTATGCAGCTAATTTTACATGAAGGTTTTAATGTATTTAGACTCTGTTGAATTTGTTTAGCAATTGGACAGGAATATTTGAAGATTGTATTTTAAAAATGACACCATTTACATGATTATTTTAGTGACTGTAAAATTGTTATCAACATTTGACATTTTCTGGCCAGTAACCATAGAGGTAACCACGTTATGTTGAAATAACAGTTGTTCTGTCATTTAAAAATTGAGTAAGCTATTAAACCTATATAGAGTTACATTAGGTCATAAGAATGTTGATTGTCACAGTTGTTACTGACTATGAACACAGCTGTTGACCCATCCTCTATAGTCACGGTTATTATCTCTGTTCTGTGTAAGATAAATACCCTTGACCCATTTAACATTGATAAAGCTTCTGTATGCTTTGGTTTCGTAAAAGTCATAGCCCCTGCCTCGGATTTGTTAAAAGCGAACATTTATTGTTATAGATTGTATAATATCATGGGGAAGAAGCTGAACGTACATATATGAAAATTTTGGGATGGGGTGAAATTTGTACCATCGAGTATGGGTGGAAATTGTTCCTACGAATCTGGATTTCAGTCAGGTTGAAAGGATACAATGCTAAAATATCTCAAATACACTTTGAAATAACTGGTGTTTGAGATATTATAGATATTTATTGTAGAATTTTCAGAGTTTGATGGATGTTCTTCTCCACATCGATAAAAATGTAATTAAAAAATCCAAAATTTGTTTTTAAAATTTCAGAAATATTTTTGCCTGAAATGATAAAGTAAATGTGAAGGGAAATTTTCCGACACTGGTTAGTTAATCTGGGGTTTAGTAAATCTGGATCATATTACAGTGAGCACCGCTGTTTGGATTATCGGTAACTTAAGAATGTTGAGCTCACTCTATTCTGGTGTAAGGAGATCTCAGGGAATAAGCTCCTTTTTGCCACCCAAAACTTTGAATTTTCACTCACCCAAAGGATACTTTAGCAAATTGCTACTGGGCTTGTGCTCGTTTCTACCTGGGATCTGTGAGATATTTATTCTACTTGAAATTTATGAAATTGTCTTGCAAGTGACGTTTTACCACATTCTTATGTTTGTTGTTTTCAGTTTGTTACCACAAGTACTTTAAATACCAGATTATTTATTATGACACCATCTGTACGAACTTAGAACAGGGCCTACATTTTCGAAGCTCTCTTAGCGCTAAGATAGTCATAAGTGACATACATTAACATTAACTAACATCTATCTTAACGCTCAGAGAGCTTTGAAAATCTAGGCCCTGGTGCCTCTAAATAGACCAGGGTGCTGTTATACAAAACAGCCTTAGCGTTAAGACTACCTTCTGTCTATGTTAAGGTATGGGAGTTACGGTCACCTTAGCGCTAAGATTGCTTTGTACAACAGCACCCATGGCTTAGCGGTACGACTTTAATAAGTGTATAAGTGTACTGGTGGTAGGATGACAGCAGCGCTAAGATCTTTCTGTACAAGAGGACCCTGGTGGTTAGGCTCAGAGACTTGCTTCATTGCTTGTTGTCGAACCTTGATGGTTGTGACGATGTTCATATTGTCATTCATTTATCTGACCACACTCAATTATTTACAAGACCCTATATAGCTGGAATAAGGATTGGTTCAACAAAACATGAATGTTTCCTCTGAGCTTCTGATTATCCCCTGGGTTGGAGACAATAGAACCCTACCCTGACAATCTCCTATCAAAGAGTAAATAAACCTCTTGAGGTTACGGTTGAAGATCCGGGTTAGAATTGATCTTCAGCAACCCATGCTTGCCATAAGAGGCGACTAACGGATCGGGTGGTCGGGTTCACTGACTTGGTTGACACATGTCTTCATTTCCCATTGGTGTTGATCAATGCTCATGGTGTTGATCAATGCTCATGGTGTTGATCACTGGATTGTCTGGTCCAGACTTGATTATTTACAGACCGCCGCCATATAGCTGGAATATTGCTGAGTGTGGCGTGAAACAACAAACAAATACTGTTGATGAACAAAGGTTGATCTTTGACATATTAGTTGTCAGGGGTAGGTAATGGTGTGAATGTGGGAAAATCATATTTATTTTGATGTGTGTAAAATATTTTCTGGTGTGTGGGTAGTTATGAGTTGAATCAAATAACACATTGATAATGGTTTCATGTTAAGTCCATTTAATGTTCCGTGTTTTCTTGAATTTGTCCTGGATTGTCCTAGTTTACCAAAAGCTTACATGAATGGGTACTCTGTAGTGGCTGAAATCCTTTAACGTGTTAGACATGTTGAATCATCATACAGTATTGTAGACTTGGATACATATTAGATATGTTTTCTTGTGGTCAAAATATCCAGAAACTACACCCTGCTTCTCAGGAAATGATAAGATGATGGCTATACGTAAAATATGATCAACCATTATCATGATACCAACTGCATTTCCTAGATTAGGTTCAAAAGGAAGTTACTCACTGGGATATTTGGGATGCGTCGTCAGGTTGTAATTTTGAAAATTTATGTCTCAAGTGCAAATGTTATCATATTGAAATTTGCTGTGTCAGCGCAAATTGTATCTTGTCAGTATCACTAAATATCTGCATCAACTAAAGAAATGCATACCCTGCAGTTTTGTGCAGACATGAAACTCTTTCATATGAGGGCCATGAGATTACAAATCTTTTAGATAAACCATTATGGATTGGATGTCAATTCGAAAACATGGCTTATCAAGGCCTGTGGGTTTTTTAAAAGTTTCCTTTGAACAATTACCAAATTTGAATAAAGAAAGTCGTGGTAATTGATGTTACTGATGTGAATTGTTGTGTAGATGATGAATAATTTATGTTCAGCAAAGACATTCGCGCCATCTTTGGTGATGTTAGCTTGAGTTGAGGTTTTACGGCACATCAGCATTGTTTCAGCCATATAGCGACGGGAC